CTTACAGGCACTTTTATCAGGTGCTCTATTTGACTGGCCCCACTTGGGAGATTTCCATTGAGAATTCTGAAATTTCATCTCAGAATGAAATCTTAGACCTCAGTTTCAACTCCTGTGGTGACATTTCTTTTTCTTATTATTCTTACTACTGTTTGTAATGCATAATTAAGGCATGTATTGTGGGAAATTAGTACATGTTCATAAAAATCTTGATTTTTGTTGTTAAAAACCTGCAATTTGCAGCAGTGCTCTCAGAAAATTAACAAAGGCCTTTGCATTTGTTCAACAGTCAAAACACATGGAAGAAATTTCTCATGACATGCTATTATAGTTTGTGCTTAGTTGTTCCCCCAAAGCCTCAAGCAGTATGAGGTGGACTTCCAAAGTTTGTGATTAGCTCCTGATCCACTGGGATTATGGTATGAGTGCTTCTGGGATTATGGGTGGGAATACTGCACTCAGCCTGGGGCAGAAAGCCTGGAATGCAACTTAAGGGAGACAGACTTCCTCTCTGTTGCCACTGTTGCTGTTACTCCTCCCTTTTGTTCTTGATGTCTTGCTGCCTTCTCTCTGTATAAACTGCTGCCCTCTGCTATGTGCCCATCTGCCTTGGAGCCAACTGAGTATGAACTGAAACTTCCAGTAACTGTGAGCTAAATAACTCTTTTCTTCCTTCATTTTGAGTGACGGGTATGTGTCCCAGCAATGAGAGAAGAGTAACTGAGACACATGCTTTGTATTTAAATTTGTTGTTAAAATTCCTTGAAATATGTCTACAAAGTAATTAAGACAAACCATTTCTCCTACTAAAGAACTTTTGCTGCCATTGATGACACTCAGCAGCAGTCACCAAGTTTTTTATCACTCTTTTTTAAGTGGTGAGAGTAATGGCTTGAAATTTTTTCATTATATAAAGTATGTTAAAAATAATTCTACTAAAGTCTTGTTAATAAGTGGCATAAGAGAATTGTAAATTAATGTCAATGACTTTCAACATTAAGCATTATTATGTAAAGAAAGAGTAATTTTCATTTATGATTCTACTTGATTTTAATGTAAAATTATGGACCAGGAATAAAAGAATGATTTCTATTCTTTAACAGGAACAGGAATAAGAGTCAGAGAATGATAGCTAAGTAGGCAATATCTAAGTTACTAGAGAAATATTTGCTCAAAATTGAAATGTGCATGCATCAAGTAGAAGTGACATTTGAGATGACACAAATATAAAAAAACGGAAAACTGAAACACGTAGAAGTATATGTGAATGCAGAACAGTATAGAGAAACTGGTTACACACAGAACACTTGTGCAAAAATACCATCATTAGTATACATTTCATAAATTATCCTATCAAAGCTCCTAAATCATCTCTGCTCCCAATGATAAGGACCTCTGTTGGTGCTTGCTCACTCTCAGGACTTCAAACTTCACTACCTCTCAAGGAATGCTTCTTGTTGTAAGAAATATATGATCAAATTATGTCCTTATGGTTGAATATCCATTCAGACTCCACAGGGCAAAAACAAAAGAGAGGAAAGCAAGGAGTAGAAAAAGCAACTGCCTTTCAACTATTTATAATCATATCCTCTCCATTTGCATCTGGAGCCCACTTATAGCACAATTAAAAAAAAACCTAATGATGAATGAGAGAAAGGGGGGAGAGGGAGAGAGAGAGAGAGAGAGAGAGAGAGAGAGAGAGAGAGAGAGAGAGAGAGAGAGAAATGGACAACACTAAAGAAATGTTAGGGCCAGCCTGATAGTTCAGTGGACTAAAGCACATGCTTTGCCAGAGTTCAGCAGCCAGGGTTCATTCCGGGCATGCCATGCTGGCCCTGTCCCTTGGGCGCGCTAAAACGGTGATTACGACTAGGCATGTTGGCGCTTGCCTGTAATTCCAGCGTTTCGGAGGATGAAAACAAGGTGGATCACTACTAATCCGGTCTACATAGTGAGCCCTTGTAGACCTTGTATCCCCTGTGCTAAACATATAAAAAAGGAAATGTTGAAGAAATTCAAAACATATTTAAATGCAAATAAAAGATGGAATAAAAGCATGACATATAATAATTTTCAATTCTGAATGTTTGATGATTCAATAAGTTTGAATTGTTAGGTCTGTTGTACTTATATCAGACTTCAGACTTCAAATATCTTAGAATGAGATGTGTAGGCTATGAAACCTTTCTTTTCTTTTTTTTTGGAACCGGGGATTGAACTCAGGCCCTTGTGCTTGCCAGGGAAGTGTGTATTCCACTGAGCCATCTCCCTGGCCAACCTTGTTAATTTTTGAGCAATGCAATATACTTCATCTTAATGAAAAAATCATCAGAAAAAAATCAAATGCTTTATGTCAAGAAATGAGAAGTAAATTGAAAATTATCAGTCTTAGAGAGTGATATAACAGTTTCTATTCCAATATATACACTTTGTAATCAAATAATGTAACTATTGGCAGCCAATAAAATTAACAGCATAAATGGCACACGTTCAGAAGTATTTATTACAATATAGTTTGTAGAGGAAAAAATTGAAAACAATTGGAAATAAATAGGAAAAACATTATATAAAAATAATATTTATGTATTATGAATGAAATCTTATATAGTTCTTTGCCAGTGTTGTAGAGCTACCTGAAGAATGATCCATAATAATTTGCTTATTAACAAAACCAATTTAGAAATAGTGTGTATGATGAAGACAATATTATGCAAAGTATTAATTATTGTAACTGTCCTCCTAACCTGTTTTGAAACTGTTTCATTGCTATTTTATCTTTTTCCTCATTAAAATAAATAAAAGATAAAAAATGTAAATTAAATTTAAAAAATATAATCCCAATATTATAAAAAATAAAAAGACATCATAAAGCTGTCCTTTTAATAGATAGACAGTGATAACTTGCTTCATGAACCCTTTTCTTCACAAATAATTTTGTTTTCAAACATAAGTTTTTGACAAAACTTTGTTTTGTTTGTAAGCTCTGCACTGAGTGATAATTATGCTTGGCCATCTTTCAGAAACACAATGTCACCATTTTTTCCAAAATTGTAGAACAAACTAAATTCATGAACCAAGGTTCCATTGAATATGTTGGGACACTTTTGTACAAAACTAGAGGATCTAGAAAAATATCCTTATCACTTATTGAATCTTATTTGTGTCACAGAAATGTGACTGGACAGGGCTGATGATGATGTCACTGACTTTCTATTTCCATTTTTACATGCTTTTCTTGGATACAAAAAGAAATAATGTTTCTACAATTGCAGTGAAATGAAAAGGAAATATTTACTTTCTAAGCCTAAAACAAATTACTGGGAAGAACACAAAGTTTTAGGATCAAGCATGTGCACATGTAGCAAGGACAAGCATGGACCATGCAGGGCAGAGAGAAGACTGAAAGGGAAAGTGAACTGGCCATACCTCATCTAAAATGTCCTGTGTGCCTCCAGTGCTCTTTTCCAAACAGAAGCAAATTTTTTGGTGGCCTCGCTTGGGTGAACTCCGTTTATGTTACTTATTCTCAGATTGAACCCAAGCCTACTGAATTCCACTCATCAATGAGAGTTCTAGTCCCCTGGAGCAATTCACAGAATCTCCGTCCTCATTCTTATAAATACCTGTGTAATCTCAGAACAACAAGCTGGCTTCACATCCCCTTGCATTTTTGTCAATCTCTCACACAGAAACACCAGTTTCTAACTTGTAATAGAAATGAATATATGTCTAGCATTGAATCGAGAAGATATTATAAAACAAAAGAAAAAGAGCACCAAAGAGGTGACCAGTGAATTTTTTTGGAATAAACAGTGGTCTTAGACACTAACAATAAGTGATATTTTCTTAACTGAGTCGGCAGTGAGATAGGAGATACTTGCTGAGAAGTCATTTTGGTCTTCTAAATGTGTACCGTTTCTAATGTCATATCAATTAGTACTATACTCACTTTAATTTTTTTTTAAAAAAGGGTATTAAAAGAAAATGATAGAGAACAACAATTTAAGATTTCTTGACAATGTGTGGGAATATTCAATCATATCTCCCATCTTGCATAATTATATCTATTAATCTGAGTGATAGATCTGATGTTAAAAATAGATAATATATCAATCACTGTTAATCATGTATTCTTGTTTTGAAAATCTGTAATGTATGTATTGTTGTATGTTACCTTGTTTCTGACTTTACTTTTGTGTTTCTTGCTCTTATTTTTATTCTTCAAGATAAAAGAAAATTATAAAAATGGAAACACAACATACTATGCAAGGAGGGAGACAGAAATGGAGTGTAGAAGTGGACTGAGCCTAGGTACTGAGGAAGAAATATGACATTAGCTGAAATAGGACTATAGCATAAAGGAAATCAGAGTCAGAGACCGAGTGTGTGGAATTAAGCATTGTACACTGCAGACCAAATTATACAATCCCTTTAGATACTTAAGTGAGGATATGAATTAGCAGTAAAATGCATGACTGGAATTCAGGGCAGAGTTGGGCTTTGGAGGTTTATATTTGAGATATTTTACTCTGATAATATCCTTTAAGCCCATGAATCTCAACAACATCTCATAGAAATGAGTGTAGGTAAGAAATAGCAAAGTATAAGGTCGACACCAGAGCATGACTAAACTCAAAATCTGAACAAACAAGTAGAAATTCAATAAGGCAACCTGAGAAGAGTATTCAATAATACTTTAAAAAGGCACCAAAAAATTCAATTAGCTGACTGTTAATGGAAGGTAATATGGGCACCAAATGCAAAGTTAGAGATTTGTTGAAAAAAAAGTGTATTTGAAAATTTTACTCTCCCAAGAGGTTGATACAAAAGCAAAATTTAAGAGTAGATGCTTGGGGGCTGGCCAGATAGATCAGCAGATTAAAGTGTCTCCTTAGGCAGATGCAGGGACCAGTGCTAGACTCTTAGCATGCAGTTCCGGCCCCACCCCTGGGGCACCATGAGACAGTGATTGAGTTTGGATGTGGTGGTGAGAGCTTGTAATCTAAGTGCACTTGGGAAGCTGAAAACCTGAGGATCACTATGAGTTCAATCTGTGTAGAGAGACCCTGTAGACCCTGTACTAAATATATTTTTTTAAAAAGAGTGGATGCTTGGGTTAAAAGAGTAGAGTGGATTTTTAAGAACTGTGAAGGACTCTCTGTGGTCTGCACAACTGTGTTAAACTCTAACCTTACAGCCTAGCACGCAGTCATGTAGCTTTTGCTGGTGCCAGTCCAATCTTTTAAGAACTTAGGAGTACCCCGAGGATCGCTCAGTACTCTGGAGAGCTAAGATCTGTGGGCCAAGGGCAAAGACACAGAGCTTTCCTGGTCCTGTTCAAGAACTTAGGAGTTTTCAGGGTTCCTGTGGGACTCTGGTGAGCTCTAACATTAGACTCAAGTGTACAGGCATGGAGTTTGTGCTCATGCTATTTCAAAATTTTAAGGACTTAGGTGTGGAGATTTCCTTGAGACTAGTACATCCATTTAAGACTTAAAAGGACTCTGGGTGGCCTGTGAGACTCTGGCAAGCTATTTCCCTTGCCTCCTCCAGCATTCCCATGTACAGATTGTGTTGGCACTATTCCAATCTGTTATGAACTTAGGAAGGTCCTAGGCAACCCATGGGATGCTAGTGAATCATAGCAACACCCACCACCCACAGTGAAACTTTGTGAAGTATTGCTCAGTCCTCCCCACTAGTAGTGAGAGCCTTGGTGAATCCTACCCTGCTCCTCACTGTACTGGAAAGTTTACAGACACCACTCTCCCACCACTGCTAAATCTGGGTGATAACTAGGCATTTCAAAATTGAAAAAGTCCAGAGGAAAAGGCAATTTCAATTCTGGGGCCAACCCAGAACAAATCCAGGAGACAAAGACATACAATATCTTGGAAGTTACACACCTGAAATTTCTGAAATGATAGCATCAGGCCATATAAGAAATAAGATCAGAAATAATGTCTCAGGTCAAAAAAGAAATAACAATTGTGGAACAATTGCTTAGCACATCTAAAGAAGATACATATTAAAAAATAGAGGAGAGCATAAAAATGATGGAAACATTGAACAAACAATATAGGAAAGAATTGAAATGCATGAAACAGATTCAACCATATATCTAGGAAATTAAGAACGTCATTAAAATCTGACAAAACTGCTAGAAGGAAACTCAAGATAGACTTCCAGATGTTTCAGACAGAGGTGTAGATAATGAAAGTGAAAGGAAAGATCTCTCAAAATTAACAAGGAACTAGGAAATAACAACACAGAAGTTAATAGATGATGCAAATAAAATAATATATTAATAATTGGTGTAAATGAAGTATCAGGAGACAGAACAAATGACATAAAAAGACTATTAGCCCAAGTCCTAGTGGAAAAATTTCCAAACATGAGAAAACAACTTGACATACAGGTAAATGAAATACGTAAAACTCCAAACAGCCATAATCAAAATAAATCTACACTTAGACACATAATAATCAGATCTCAGAAATTCAGCAAAAGAATAAAATATTAAAACTTATAGTTTACATTATTAAAATGAGGAAGATTTGCTTGATGAAATCCCACCACAGAAGTTTGGGATTCTTACAAGAGAAATTCAATATGAAAATGTGGAAGATCAGTTCCCCAACTTTTCCACAGTTCCTCTTGATGAGGCAGACAACACCATAAATAACTAAATGCCCCTGGAGTATAATTGTTAGTGTTCTTTGATCTTTGTTTAGAAAATACCACACTCACACCTATAATATTTAAATGGCAATGGAATACCCATCTCTAACAAAATTAAACAAAAAAGGGGGAAATAAATGAAGGACTATTTTGTAGTGAAAAATATATATGCATATATCTGTATTTACAAAAGAGTTAACATAGATATACAGCTACTTTCTCTTAGTTCAATGAGAAGAAAGATTTGTACTAATAGTGTTTAGACAAGATATCATGTCTGCATCTCATACTATGAATAACTACTACAAAGATAACAATATGCAATGAATTAATTATTGTAACTTTCCTACTAACCTGTTTTGAAACTGTCTCATTGCTATTTCTTTCCCAAAAAAATTAATTAAAAAATAAATATAGGGGCCGGGGAGATTGCTCAGTAGGATAAGCGCTTGCCTGGCAAACACAAGGATCTGAGTTCAATCCCCGGTTCCGCCAAAAATAAAAAATAAAAATAAAATAAAAGATACCACTCTCTGTGGTGACCATTATAGCTAACCTTGTTTAATTTCCACATGTTCCATCTGCTCTGTCCTAGAAGAATTGTTCCAATATCTTAAAGACTGGCTGTTTCCTCATCAGTGTTTACAATGGCCAAGTGATCTCTACTTTCTTCCTTGAATGAAGCATACTCATCCTTCATGGTTCAACCTAAACATAACTTCCTTTATTCATTTACACACATGTATCTACAACAGTGTGCACTTCTTGAAACTTAAATTTTAGCCTAATATATGTTGTCTGCACATTAGAGTAAACTCCATAAGGGAGTGACTATATTTCCTTCTCTTCTACACTCTGAAATTAACTTTCTTTTGCAAGGCTCTGAATTCCTTTCTTCTAAAACATTTATCTCAGGACTTGTCTGAATACTACAGATGCATTTCAGAATAAAGAAACACATGTTTAAATGATGAATAGAGAAAACTTAGATTCCCCAATATGATCATAATATACTATAAGGTCTAAAACTTTTATTTAATTTTTCTAGCCACAATTTACTCATTTGGATTAAATGTGCAGCATCAAACCCAAAAGCAGTTGATTGTGAGGATGAAATATTGTATGTGAAAAACTCAAGCAAATGATTGCAGATTTCAAATGATTTATATACCTGAAGTTTGACCTTCCACATTCCTGAATAACACAAGGATAGAGAGGGACATAATGAAGTAGTAGATCACCTGCACATGTGATGTAAGCTTCATCCTTTAGAAGGCAGGATCTGGAGTTCCAAGGGTCAGAAGGACACTGCCAGAGAGAAACATCAGTTTTCTGACAGTGGATTCTATCTACCCAACGGGGTCTAGAACCTTCCCTGGCAGGCACAGAAGTGTTGAGGGTCCCACCATTCCCACAACCAAGCTGTCTGCAGATCACTGACAAGGTCATGTCTTCCATGGAGTTGCGGCAGACACTGCCCCAGGTCCCATTGTAGAAAACCTCCAGCCACCCAGTACACTCATGATCCTCGCTCACCACCCTGAGATCCAGGAACTCTGAAATGGAAAGGTGAACAGGAGACAGTGAGGAGTGAGTTCTCAACTTTTCCTTTAAATTTAAGCAATGAATGTTCATTGCTATGCTGTTGAAAAAACTCTCGCTATGTAGAAAGACTGAAACTCCTCTCATTGTTAATTGTTTTGCAAACTTGAACTTTTCTTTCTCTTTCTGCCACAATGATGTCATGGACAATGAGTAGGAACCCTTTCCTAGGTGACCTGCAGAGCAGAAATTTTATTCTTATTTAATGAATGAACACCACTTAGACAACATGAGAAAAATGTAGATGGTCATTGAGGAGCCAGGAAAATGGAGGAGAACCAAATATGTAAACTTTTTGTTCACTGTATCCTATCAACATGTTCTCTCACATGGCAAAAGTCTTTAAAGATAAGATTAACATAAGGGTATTTTATTGTGAGAGTATGTTGTGCTTTCTAGAGTTATCCAGGTGAGCACTATCTAATTGTATCATCAAAATGGTATTCTAAAACTATATCACCTTTTCTAGAATGGTCAGAATGAGATGTGACTATAGACATATGCGTACCTGTTTACAATGCATTTGGTTTGAAGAAGTAGGGAAGCAGGAACTAAAGAATGGCAGCAACTTTTAGAAGTTGGAAAGGGGAAAAACTAAACTTCCTGGAGCTTCAGAAGAATGTAGTCCTCCTAACATCTTGCAAATAATCCAGCTTGATAAGACTGGATATGTACAAGACTATAAGATAATCAGTTCTGTTGTTTGAAGCTATTGATATGCATTAATTTATTACTGCAGCAATAGGAAACAAAGAGAGTGGCTTTACAGGCTTTACACCCACAGGTAAGTGAAGGGGGAGTCCTGTGTTCAGATAGACACTGTAGAAAATTACGGTGTTGAGAGATAGAGTTGAGAAGGAAGGAGCAGAACCTCAGCTGAGAAAAGAGGAAGTGACAGCACCTCATCTTCTGTTCTCCTAGAAAAACAGGTCCTGGTAAGCAGCCTCCTCCCTTTAAGTTCTTTAGGCAACTCTTTCAACCTAACCAAAGGGCTCAGACGCCATCCTGGAGACCCTCCCTCTCCATCCAAGACTGTATGTACTGTGTGAGCAGAGACCTGAGCAGATGACTCCTGCATCCTCCTTGTGCCAGCAGTTGTGTTGTCCCCAGCCCTGGGAAGGACACTTCCAGACATGAGACTCCTTCCCTGTGCAGTTCAGCTCATCCAGCCAGATGTTCCCTGATCCCTGTCCAAAGTGAGCAGACACCGTGGCACTGAGGGCCACTCCACAGCCCAGCTGTCTGCACACCACATGGGCATCACTCAGGTCCCAGCTGTCATCGCAGATGGTGCCCCAGGAGCCCACATGCAGGATCTCCACTCTTCCTGCACAGTGACTGCCCCCATCCATGAGGCGCAGCTGTCTTCTATCTGAGGAGAGACAGAGTCAGGTCAGTGGTGCTGACATGGAAAAGATCAGGTTCTCTCCTGGGGATGTCCTCACCTTTGGAGTTGGTAATTAGGATATTTGTGACTGCAGATCCGTCTGGATTACAGAGGGGGTCATTGACCTCATGCAGCAGCTGGGTCTGGTTTCCTTCAGAAAAGGTAAGAGAGCAAGTAAGTGAGTTAAACCAGCGATAGTCTAGTATTGACATCCAGGATGACATTTTTGATACAGGATCAATGATTTCCTGTCTTCCGACCTCATTTTATGCACTGAAATTTTCACTTCTGTCTATGCCAGAACTTTCTCTTTTGATACTGAATGGTCATATCAGCCATCTCCTTTTTATTATTCACTAGAAATTTTTATTATTTGCAGAAATAAGCTTTGTATGTAAGATAGCTTTCACAATAATTTTATCATATAAAATTCCAAATAGTCACAAACCATATAAATCTACCCCTAGAAATATAATAAACAAGCTCTCAGAAATTCAGCAAGAAAAAAAATCAAAAAATATTAAAACATTTTAAAAAAGGAAAAATAAAGAAATTCAGCAAGGTAACAGAATATCATAAGCTTCTAGAGAGAAGAAAGAGATCAACTACAATGAAAGTATATCAGAATCATGGGAGATTTCTCAATACAAACCATCAAATCAGGAAGAGCTTGGAGTAAAGTATTTCAGGTCCTGATAGAAAATAACTTCCAACCCAGATTGCTGTACCCTGAAAAACTTTTAAATTTAAGGGTGAGATAAGATCCTTCCATGAGAAAGAATAACTTAACAAATTTATGATCACCAAACCAACCCAAAAAGAATACTGACAGATATTTGAGAAATCGACAAAAAGAACCACCGCTTCAAGTAAAACAGAAAGGAACCACCAAACAGCAAGTAATTAAAAAGAGGGGAAAAGTGTAGAACCTATAATAGGAAAATAACATAATAAAAATAAGCTAACACACATCAGTTCTACCCATCAATATTAATGTCCTCAATTTACCAATCAAAACAAATAGACTAGCAGAGTGAATTACGAAACAAAATTGAACTATATGTTGGATACAAGAAACACATTTAACTGAAAAGGAAATTCACAGACTGAAAGTTAAATGTTGGAAAAAAAATTTCCTTGCCACAGGAAACCAAAAAAAGCAGGGATAGCTATTCTGGTTGCTGACTATACAAAATTCAATGCAAAAATCATTCAAAGAGATAAGAAGGTCATTACATATTTGATAAGGGAAAATGTAAGAGAAATAGATAACATTGTAAGTATATATGTACCCAACTTAGGAGTACCCACCTACATAAGACAAATTTTAACAGACATGAAAAATCAAATGGGCAATAATACAATTGTAATGGGAGACTTTAACATGTCGCTGTCACAAAGAGACAGATCAACTAGGCAAAAAATGCAGAAAAAAAAAAAAACCTTGTAAAGAAATAAACTTCATAGGGCTTTCCAGAGTGTTTCACCCAGCAACAACAAAATACACACTCTTCTCAGATGTACATAGGGCATTCTCCAAAATAGAACACATACAAACAGAGCATTCTTAAGTAAATGCAAAGGAATTGAAATTAGCCCATGCATACTGTCTAACCACAGTGCAAAGAAACTCGAACATACTGACAAATAAACACTAAAAAAATCACAAACACACAGTAATTAAATAGCAGTCTCCTAAACAACCAAAATTTCACAGATGAAATAAAAGAAGAAATTAAAACATATTTACAATGAGATGAAAATGCAGATACAACTTAGCAAAATTGTCGGATACAATGAAATCTGTCAAAACAGAAAAATATATAGTATTAAATAAACAAATTAGGAAACAGCACAAGCCAAAGTAAATAGTCTTATGCTGTACAAGCAGCTCGAAGAAAGAAGTACAGCAAGTCAAACAAAATTAGAGCAGAAATTAATGCAATTGAGATGAAGAAAACAATAAAAGAAAAACAATGGAAAGAAAAAAATGAATCAATGACATGCCAGTTGCTGCTGTACTG